TCCTGTATTTGGTGTATTTATTTTCCTTTTCTTATATTTTTATTTCTCTCCAGACTGTCCAGTGTCTGAGACTGAAGTGGAATTGGGATGTATCCAAGTTTGTAGCTTCTGAAACCTTAACAACCTCAAGTAAAACTGGTCCAAAAGACCCCTCTTGACCTCCCTCGCTCTGAACTCTTGTGGAGCACTTAGACTGAGCAGAAACCAGCACCGAAGCTAACGGTCTGAAGCTTTGCAACATCTCTCCCCAAGCGACTGACCAAAGAGAAAAGAGAAGCAACATTCCTGGTTGTTTGCTGTTGTTGGGTTTTGTGTCTGTCTGTGCGTTTGGTTTTATCTCTAATTTTTTTTTTGTTCTGAAAAAAAATTTTAATTCAGGAATTCATTTATGAGAAATCTTTGGGTTCGGATTTTACTTCCCCTTAGCTGTATTCATTTTTGGGGTTTGTTTTGTCTGTTGTTGCTTTTTTTTTTTTTTAACTCAAAACCTGATTTCTTGTACAGTAATGTCAAAACTGGACCAAGGCTCTCAGAAAGAAAAAGAAGAAAAAAGCCCACCGTGTCCCCAGCTTCCTGCATGATTTGTTTCAAGTACAGCCTGGATTACAGACTGCCCTCCACACTCTACTGCCTCTCCCTTATTGCTCCATGATTTGCTACCGCTCACCTCCCACCCCACGCCCCCAAAAAAATTTTTTTTCATTTTCTGTTCCAGTGTATATGTTGCTTATTTGTTTTATTTATTGAGATATTTTTAACGAGCTAAGAGACTGCAATGTCGCTGTGTATACTGCTTCTCTTGCCAATAAAAATAAAGATGTCATGCAGCTACCGGGGGTATGAGATTTACATTCTTGACTGCACAGCTCCGAGCAGAAGCTGAGCCACTTCCTTGTACCCTGCAATGTTTCGACACTCACCAATTTGACTCAAAGCTCTTTCCCAGGTAGCGGGTGATGGGGTGCAGAAGGTGTGAGCATCACTTGTCCGGGCTGATGTCTCCCAGCATTTAAGAGGGGTAGCTGGTTATTTCCTTGCCCCCTGGCTAAGGAGATTTGCTTGGGCTGCAGAGGAGGCACACACCTCTTTAGCACCGTGGTTGCCAGCACATTGCTCGAGCAGTTTGTGCTCTCAGCAGAGCCCCTTATTAAGCAAAATGCAACGTATCATGGTAGGCATCAGACCCACCGGTCTGCACGCTTGCTTTCAGCTCGAATAACAAGTTGGTCTCCTTCACATTCAGTGGTGGAAATGTTAAGGTCAAGCATGAGGTGCTATACCAACACACGGCGATGGAAAAGCTGCATCCATTGCATATTGTGCCCAGAAGAGATGCACAACCCATAAAAGCCGGTGGCACTACAAAAAGGGTCACCCGGAGTCGCTGATCTGCTCCTCCTTCCTACTTACTGTCCATCCTGCGAGCAAACGTAGGTGGGCTTTGCTGGTGCTCACTAACCTTCCTCCGCTGCCTTGCAGAACCCCGTCAGACTCTCAGTCACACACATGCGAAAGCCAGGTTTCAATTTCCAGGTCATAAATAACATGTTTAAAAAGAATTCTTTCAGGGAAGAAAAAAAAAAATTACTTTAACAAACAATCATGGTGGATCTGGAAAAATGGGGCTATATTATCCCAAATGTCCTTTTGTTCTCACACCGTTTCTCTACTGCAGTAATAGCAATTCTGGTTAGTTTGAGAGCATCTGGGCTGCAACACTGAGGTGACAGAGAGAGATAGATTAAAGGGCAGGTCTCTGGCAAAGGCAGTTGGGGAGCCTCAGCGTTTGTTGTTGGATTATCAACTTGACTTTGCAAAGCAAAAGGCAAAACTGATCTTTGTAAGAAAGCTCGGCTCATAAATTGGCAGGGAGTGATGCACTGGGGGGGAGGGGGGGAAGAGGGAAAGAAAAGATGGTGAAGGATAATCCACTATGGGAAAAAAAAAGAAAAGCAGCAATGCTGTGGTGTCTAGAGCCATTAAAAAATAAAACATGTCATTCCATCTAAACCAGCTTCAGAGAAAAACATTTTAACATGCCAAATCAAGAACATACATGTGTGTATCAGATGCATTAATTGCCTGAGAGGTTTCAGAGCCTGAACATCAAATGTTTACTTTAAAACAAGCGCAGTTGCGTAGAGTAAAACACATCACATCCATTAAAAGCTCTTACTTTCTTAAAAGTAAATGACATCTCAGTCTGGGCTTTTGGTACCAGCAGAGCCAAAAATACCATTTAAGAAGGTGAATTTAACAGATGTCATGCGATGCAGCATGTCATGCAGCAAATGGAATTATTCTTTTTTCCCAGGGTATGCGTATTTGTGTGTCAGTTTCTGAAATTTTGTGAATTCCACCATGAGAAGTGACATTTTTCCAAGCATGGACACCCAAATCCTACTTTAGCTTTATTAATGGCTCGTCAGAAGAGCCTGTTGTGCTGCTCCGCTCTTTCAGGGCACGACTAGGCCCAAGAGGAGATGGTCAGACCTACCCAAGCCACAGGCCAGATGTGTGCAGCCGTAGCACTGTCATGTGCTTTGCTTAATGCTACAAAGGGTCGCGGCTGCTGAACGCCACGCTTCGATACCATGCATTTAAGGACCCGTCATGGTAGGTCAAAGCATGTGATCTCTCTCTCTGCAAACTGCACTAGCAACTACTCGTGAAAACAAATGCTCACAAGCACCCATTGGTGCTTATTCCATGAATTCTGGGGATTAGCCAAGGCTCATGTAGGTGAATGGCCTTGGGGAGGAAATTTGGAGCCCAGTGATACGATATTTTTTTTCAGGCAGAAAAGGTAGTAACTGCAAAAGCTGGTCAGGCCAGTCAGAAAACAGCCATGCCACAAGGTTCAGATGAGTGGTTTCAGTTCCCGAGGGGAGAACTGAGACTGTCAACTGCTCCCAAAAAGTACTGACAATTTGAGAGCTGTAAACTCCCCGGATAACAGATTTTTAACAGAAAACACATTTGGATTGATGAATAGAGAGACACGCATTTCAATCAGCTGCTGAAAAGGTTTATCATCTCATGTGTTCATCCTGCATGAGCCGCGGCCCAGAGCCAGCCATGTGGGTCAATTGGGAAGAAGCAAAGGTAAAGCCCCGACCCTAAAACTGCAGCTGGTTTGTCATGTGCAGGACATAACAGAGGTATATTTACTTTTCTTTTTTTCATATGTAGGAGTGTTTTTCAATCACATTAATCACACCGTTCACCCTAACTCCCAAAGTGATTGAATTTGTCCTTCCCAATCCCACCCCTGCATGAAATCCCATTGCCCTGTGAGACATGAAGAGATGTGCCCGAGGGCAGGGACAGACTCTCTTGTACAAAAGGGAATAAAACCAGGAAAAGATACAGGCTCAGCCAGGGGCGATAGCTCCCAACAACAGGATTGCTCCTCCGCGGCAGCACGCGCCCACAGGTGGAGCCTGGCTACGTATCGGTCCTGGACCATTTGGTTTTAAAAGCTACAGAAAGCACCCAGTGCATGTGATTTTGTGCAAGGGTCCAGCTAACGACAAAGCGAAGTATTCCCTGGAAAGAAGCCAAGCACTGAGGCGGTGATGTAAAGCATACTGGTGTTTTCTTTTTTTTTTTTTTTTTTTTACTGAATCCCAGCTCAACTTAGCACTGCCAAACCCCTCCCTCCCCCCCATTTTCAAGAGGGGGGAAAAAGCCTTCAGCTGGAGTCCTTGATATAGACCAAATGAAAAAAGAATAGGGGAAAAAACCCCAATGAACAAATCCAAACCCTAGGTTCTACCCCTTGGGATCTCTTTTCTGTCTCGCCTCCCTCGTGGCCACCCCATTTTCATGCAACCAGGGAATGCTGACAGCAAAGAGGGATCAGGGAAGCGGGGAGTGCTGACAACTTTTCCCAGGGATGCTTATAAACTTGGAGTCCTCGTTTGGCTGGGACCACCCAGGCACCATTTCTGAGACGGCAAATTCAGCCCCTCCTTGAAGGGGGACAGCAAAGAGAGGTCTATGTTGGTTAGCATCGTCTTGGCACGGAGACCTTGGCTAGGGGAGCTTGCATCCCACCCAAACCTGGGAGAGGAGGGAGCCCCTGAGCCTTCGGGGGCACCCACACCGAATCAGCCATACGATCAGTATAATGATAAATCTTCTATTTACTGCTGTTATGAAACGCAGTGACAAAGTGGTCTTTATCAGGGTTAAACATAGTGATAAAAATTGCACCCAGAAATCACAAGTGATGTGAAAGAGCTGTTGCCCAAGATATGGCCTCTACCTCTTCTGCCCAGCTTTGCTCACAGCACTGGCCAAAATGACCTCAGGTATTTTGAATGGGGACTCTGTTCATTGCTGGGTTCAACCAAACATGGGTCTCAAAATGCACAGACCGCTGGATGCTTGGACTTTGGGGATCCCTTCCAAAATACTCACTGAGAGATCACAATTACAGATATCAAGAAGAATGCCTGCCAGCCCAGGAAAGCCCCACCAGGGTTTGCCTGGGATGTCATGTTGAGCCCTACCTGGTTGGCCAACACATGCATGGGTTTGGGGGGAGCAGACCCTTCCCTTAGGGCTGTCTTCCATCTTCCTCAGGCAGACAAAACCTCTTCCAGCAGCAGAGGGATTGCTGGAAGCCACGAAAGGCAAGAGGAAAGGCCAAGCCTAGGAGAAGACCCTCTTCCACAACCCATCCCTTCATCACACAGGCATGATCTCTTCACGATGCATTAAAAATCTTGAGTTTATGACTCATCTTTAACCCTTTATACCACTTCTAGCACCAAATCACTACCCATAAGGTGGTCACCTAAACCCCCATAAAAAGAAAATGCCATACATTACCAGCATTTCACCCATGTTTTAATGGAATAATTCAAGCTGATGTAGGGTTTGCAGCTGCGTCTTGATGCTTTCTGTGGTTTTGATGCCATTCCACTCGCCTTTGTAGTCTCAGAATTTGTTTTGAGCTTGGTAAAGTGCACTCAGCCCTTTTATGATTTCCTGTCTTGTTTCAGAGCCCTGCGCTGAAAGACTTTAGTTGCCTCCTAAATCTTTTTCCAGAACTCTCCTGTCACTTTAAATATTGGCCAGCATTTTGTTAGCTTCAAGACTTTGAAATAATATCAAAGTAAACCTCAAAGGAAAATAATGCAGTAAAGAGTAAGGTTGAAGCCTAATTCATATTTAAATAAAGATCTTTCACTTCAGCTTGGGTTACTGTGTAAAATGACTGAGAACAAATGGAGCTTTAAAGGCCTTATTCCCCCGGGGTTCTATTTTAAAATGATCAGTGAGCCTACCAGGCAGAGGAATGAAATTGCCTTCCCTTGGAAAATTCCCTACCATTGGGAAGAAACAAATTTGAAGTTCTCCAGAATCAAGATGGACTTTTTCCTCCCTCCCCTCCTGAACTGTGGCCCCGAATGATGT